TGACTCTCCTTAGGCACACTCTACGTCATCGATCACTTTCCTCTTTGGCCCCATAATCTTCTTGATCAGAAAATTTGGGACACTACCGAGGTACATGATGTTACAGTACAAGTTCTCATATGAAAACCGCCATTTTGCCTCTCTTTTAGTTCTATATGAATTTTAGGACTGAGGGTGTCTGCAAAGAAAGTTGTATGATTTTTAATTAGGATTGCCCTAAATTCCTCTCCACTACAGAGGAAGTCTCCATTTTCTCATATCCTCTTCAATCTCTGCTTCAGAGAACTATAGCTTGTTTTCTGAGTTCTTTTACTTTCCTCCTCCTCCTCCTCCTCCTCCTCCTCCTCCTCCTCCTCCTTCTTCTTCTTCTTCGTATTTTAGGGAATGGTAGTGATTCTCGTGTTGGAGCTTCCCAAGAACTGGGATTACAGGTGTGCGCCACCACGCCCAGTCTCAATTGCTGTCTCAGCATACCCCAGAAGCTGGGCTGGCATAGCAGGCCCTGGGGATTGAACCTCTGGCCCCTGTGCCTGCTTTCAGGCACTTTAATCCACTGAGCTATATGGCCAGACCTCTTTTACTTTCTTGGTTAAGTCAATTCCTATGTCATTGATAGTGTACAGGAATGTTATGTGTTATTGTTTCTTGGTTTTATATCCTGCTACATCGATAAAGCTATTAGTTGTCTTAGTTTCTGTTCTCTCATTGCTGGGACAAAGGCCTGCTGCCCAAAATGAAGGAAGGAAATGTTTATTTGGCTTGTAGTTACTGGAGGGTTCAGTCCATACCTAGCTGATCCCAAGGCAGAATGGCACATGGCAGAGAGCAACCCTTCATAGTGGTGGCAAAGAGCAGAGAGAAAAAGGGAAGAGTAACAGCAAAGATGGCTACAGAGAACAAGTCTGTCTCCCTTGAGTTGCATTCAGCCTATAGCCCCAGGCTGGGAGTAGTATTCACACCTATAATCCCAGCCGCACCCACCCCCATAATCCCAGTGCATCATTAGTTAGTCTCAAACTGTACAAGTCCACCCCATGATTGCATGAGGCTTTGGAGGAACAACTAGACACAAACCATAACACTAGTTCTAAGAGTCTTTTGGTGGAGTATTTTGAGTCTTCTATGTAAAGAATCATCTCATCTGTGAATAACAATAACATAATCTCTTCCTTTTCTTTCTTTATCCTTTTATTTCTTTTTCTTGCCTGATTGATGGCTATTGTCTCGAGTACTATATCGAATAGGAGTGGTAACAGTGAATATTTTTGTCTTCTTACTGATTTTTAGAGGAACAGACTCCAATTATTCCTCATTTAGTATGACATTGATAGTGGGTTTGTCATAAGTGATTTTTAATCAGATTTTTTCAGATTTATAAATTTCTCATCTACCTGGTTTCTTCAGAGTTTGTATCATGAGTAGAAATGGGATTTTTGGCAAAGACTGTTTATGTGCCTACTGAGATGAGTGTGTGGATGTCTGTCCTTGATTGTATTTACATAATGTATTACATTTATTAATTTACATACATCAAATTGTCCTGGCATCACGGATGAAGCCATCTGGGTCATGATGTGTGATCTTTCTAATGATTTATTGCATTTGCATCTTGACTATTTTTGCACTTTTGTACATTAAGGATATTGACCTTTAGTTATCTTTTCTTTTAGTGGAGTCCTTGTTTGTTTTTAGTGTCAGGGTAATGCTGACTTCTAGAAGTAAGTGAATGCTACATTTCTTGAGTTTCAGAAATACGCATGTTAGTTTTTTCTCTGAAGTTCTTATAGAATTCAGAGGTGAATCCACTCAATACTGGGCTTTTCTTTGTTAATGGAATGTTTATTACTGGCTGGATTTTATCCCATTACGGCCTTTTCAGTTTTTATATTTTTTGCCTCAGTTTTGATAATTTGTGTGTGTGTGTGTGTGTGTGTGTGTGTGTGTGTGTGTTGGAATATAAATTTTCAAAGTAGTTTCTTATAAATCTCTGGATTTTGGTAGTATTAGTTGTGTTTTCATTTTCCTCATCTCTGCACTCTTACGCGTTTTTTGTTCCTTTTTGTTTGGCAAGTTTCACTAAAATTTGGTCAACATTATTTATTGTTTCAAGAAAACAACTCTGATTCACTGATCACTTGTATTTTTTTGTCTTTTTCATTTTAGCAATTTTTTCCTAATTCTGTAAATTATCTCTTTAATCTGTGGGTTGTTTCTTTTCCTGCACAGAAATTTTAATTTCCATTATAATTCCATTTGTTGAGATTTTGTCTTGTTTAGTGTCAGTTTCATTTTTGCTCATTCTGATCTTTATAATTTCTCTTCTTCTTTTACTTCCAATTTGATTTTTTTTTTAGGAACTTGAGATGCGTTATTAGGTTATCGAGTTTGAATTGTTATATTCTTTTGTGTGCATTTATGAGTGCAAATTCTTCTCTAAGAACTGCTCTCCTCATGGTCAATGGGTTTTACTAGGTTTGTTTCATTTGCCATTTGATTCTAAGAAATGTATTTCTTTCTTGATTGCTTTCATGAACTATTGACTATTCAATAATGTATAACTTAACCAGATTGTGTTTGTGGAACATTTATAGGTTTTGCTTTTATCTTGCTTTTGATTCCTAGCTTCTTTCAACTATTATCAAATAGTCTTCAGGTGATTATTTAAATTTATTTGCATTTATTTAAGCTTATTTTATGGCCTAAGATATGGCCTATTTTGGAAAAATTTCAGACACTACAGCAGAAACATTTCAGCTGATGAAATACAAAACAAGTAAAACTCTTGGTCACATAGGCATTGGCAATAACTTTACAAACAGAAGCCCAATCCACAAGAAGTAACACAAAAAGTCAGCAAATGGAATTATAATAGAAATTTAAATTTCTGCACAGGAAAAGAGATAGTCAACAGATTGAAGAGATAACTTGCAGAATGAGGGGAAATTTTGCCAGCTACTTCTCAAAGAACTAATACTTAAAATTCCAAAGAAGTAGACCACCAGATATAAAAGACTGGATCAAAAAACTGGCTTTCAGGCTCAGGAGGTGGCTCAGTGAAATAAGCGCTTCCCTGGCAAGCGCAATAGCCTGAGTTCAATCCTGGTTCCGCAAAAAAAAAAAACAAAAACAAAAACCTGGCTTTTGATGGAACAGACACTTCTAAGGAGAAAATCCTGGCTGGGGAGATAGTCTGAGTGCCTTCCCAGCATGTACAAGGACCAGACTTTGATTCTCTGCACCCCCGCGTGCACCGTGAGGCCACCAAAACCTTGAGTGATGATGCACGTCTGTAATCCCAGCACTGGGGAGGCTGAAAACAGGAGGATCTCTATGAGTCCTGGGTGCACAGTGAGACCTTGTACCAAATAAATAAATAAACAAACAAATATCAAATAGTCAATAAGCACATGAAAAGCTGTTGAGCAACTTTGGCCATTAAAATTTGAAAATTATAACTATACAGAGATTCTACCTTACTCCAGTGAGAACGGCTATCATCAAAAACTCAAAATCAGACTGGGCGTGGTGGCACACACCTGTAATCCCAGCCCTGTGGAGGCTGCAAACAAGAGGATCACTAAGAGTCCAAGCTGCATGGTGAGACCCTGTATCAAATACATTTAAACACACACACACACACACACACACACACTCAAAATCAACAAGTGATGCAGCAGCTATGGTGCAAAAGGAAAGGTCGGTAGAAATGTAAACTAGTGACATCACTATGGAAATCAGGATAGAAATGCCTAAAGTAGTGACAGAAATTACTCTGAACCCAGTTAGATCTCTCTTAAGTATCTTTCAAACTCTGAAGTCAGTATATTACAATGCTACATGCACCCCCATGTATGTAGCATCACACTTCACAAACTAAAGCATGGAAGGATTGATATGTCAATCAATAGATGAATGGAAAAGGAAAATGTGACACGTACACACAATAAATAGAGTAGTACTCAGCCATAAAGAGGGATAAACTTGAGTCATTTGTAGAAAAATAGATGTAACTTGAGACCATGATAATTAGTGAACTAAATCTGACACAGAAACTTAATAACGCTTAGGCTCTCTTATGAGAAATTCAAAATATAAATATTTTCAAGAGAAAAATAAAAGATGACAGGAAACACATAGATAGACTTTTGCAAATGGTAAGGAGATCTAAAGATGGAGGGAGAGGAAAAGGAAAAGAGAAAATGGGGAATTACAGGAATGAGATAAGATATGTGCGTGGTGGAACACGCCTAAAGTCTCAGCACTTAGGAGGCTGAGGCAAGAAGAGCATCAGTTCAAGGCCAGCCAAACTACATAATGAGACCCTATCTCAAAATATAAATAAATAAAATAAAAGAGTGAGACACATGGACCAATTCTCTGCCATGATTGTGTTCACAGTATGTCACAAACATGCACTAATAAAAAGTAAAATAAAATAGTAAGAAAAACAATAAAAATAAATAAAAGGTTGTATAAGATGTTCCAACCTAGTAAACCTCAGTAAAAATGATCCAATTTCCTAAATTAATATTTTAAATATAGAAGGCTTCTTGGTGCGGCGGTGGCTAAGGCCGTGCAGGTGAAACTGTCAGCGGGACTGCTGAGGGAACACGGAGCTGTCCCTGCAGCCTCAGGCCGCTGAGAAGCCCTTGTTTCCACTGCTGAGAAGGAGAATGTGGTGACAACAGGATGATTGGGAGCTGAACGTGGGCAGCCTCATCACCCGCCTGCTGGAGGGACAGAACTCAGGACCTTTTGCTTGTCAGGTGCTGCTGCTGCTGCTGCTGAGAGATCTCCCAGGACCCCCCTATTGTATGAGGGTGTCGTGCAGGAAATATTGGGCAGACGACTGAAGCAGAAGTTTGGGGCTTATGTATCAAATCTCATGAGATCTTTCTCAGCCAGCCTATTTTGGAATTGGAGGCACCCCTGAAAATTTGTGGAGATATTCATGGACAATATACAGATTTGCTGAGATTATTTGAATATGGAGGTTTCCCACCAGAAGCCAACTGTCTCTTCTTAGGAGACTATGTGGACAGAGGAAAACAGTCTTTGGAAACCATTTGTTTACTGTTGGCTTATAAAATCAAATATCCAGAGAACTTTTTTCTCTTAAGAGGAAACCATGAATCAATTGCATTTATGGATTCTATGACAAATGCAAATGAAGATTTAAGATCAACTTTAGGAAGACCTTCACTGATTGTTTTAACTGTCTGCTTTTTGCTGCCATTGTAGATGAGATCTTCTGTTATGGAGGGCTGTCACCAGACCTACAATCTATAGAACAGATTCGGAGAATTATGAGACCCACTGACATGCCTGACACAGGTTTGCTTTGTGATTTGCTGTGGTCTGACCCAGATTAGGATGTGCAAGGTTGGGGAGAAAATGATCGCGGTGTTCCCTTTACTTTTGGTTTGATGTAGTCAGTAAATATCTGAATCGTCATGATTTAGACTTGATTTGTCAAGCTCATCAGATAGTGGAAGATGGGTATGAATTTTTTGCAAAACAACAGTTGGTAACCCTATTTTCAGCTCCAAATTACTGTGGAGATTTTGATAATGCTGGTGAAATAATGAATGTGAATGAAACTTTGATGTGCTCCTTTCAGATACTGAAAACTTCTGAAAAGAAAGCTAAGTACCAGTATGGTGAACTGAATTCTGGACACCCTGTCACTCCACCTTGAACAGCTAATCCAATGGAGAAAAGGTGAAGAAAGGGATCCTACAAAGAAATTATCAGGAGTGTATGGGAGAGCTTCCAGCTACCCAGCGCCAGGAAGGACCTGCTGGTTCCAGCCCAGGCTCAGCGTGGGTGAGACCCTCTTCCACCCCCCTGAGACACCCCCCACCACTTCACAGCACCTCCCCTATGCTGCAGGCCAAGTAGGAATTTCGACAGCGTTCCTGGAACACCCAGGCCCAGTCCCAGCCCAGGCCCGGTGAGTGTGTGGGAGAGCTTCTGGCTATCCTGCACCCGTGGGACCTACTGGTTCCAGCCCAGGCACAGCATGGGGGAGACCCTCTTTCACCCCCTTGGGACGCTGCCATCACTCTGTAGTACCCTCCCACACCCCACCCAAAGAGTAGAAATTTTTGTTGTGTTCTGGGAACCCCCAGATGCACGACTAGTCCAGGCCCGGTGAGTGTGGGGGAGAGCTGCCTCTCCCTGCTACTCCACCTTGTCCCCTCCAGACTCAGCTCAGGCCTGGCATACAGGCCTGGGGTGAAACCCTTCAGCTGCAATCCCTGCAGAGAGTGTAGGGGCCAGAACCACCCAGGTAGTCCAGGAGCAGAACATCTTGCTACAGGGGAACAACAGGTTCACCCCCAAGGGCTGCAATAGGAAGGACCTGAGCACAGCAGCGACCCAAGCCAGGCACAGCTGGATAAATCCATAATTTGTAGATCTACACCTGAACTTCAGTAGGTTGAAAGGCTATAACTGCAACAAAGATCTACAACAAAGGACAGAAGACAGTGCTATACAAAATGACAATGAGAAGGAGCAAAATGCAATCTCAGAACCCAAGCCCACCCATAACAAGTGCAGAGGACGCTAACACAGAACAAATTGGGAATCACACAGCTGAAAGCAATGAATCAGCAGCATCTGAAATAAAGAAACAGCTGCAGAAAGGTATGCAGGAACTCAGATTAGAAATGAAAAAAAGAAATCCCTGAATTAATAACATCTGCAGTAAAAAAACATATGGAGGAAATCCAATGCCCACCCAGAACAAGTGCAGAGGAAACTAGCTCAGCTCAAATGTATGAATTAATAGCATCCATAGTAAATAAGCAACAGCAGAAAGTCATAGAGGAACTCAGAGTGGAATTCTTTTTTACTAGCTCAACTCAAAGGTATGAATTAATAGCATCGATTGTAAATCAGCAACAGCAGAAAGTTATAGAGGAGCTCAGAGCAGATTTTTTTTCTGAAATAAAAGAAGTATTCTCAGAACTCATAGCATCTGAAGTAAAGAATCAACTACAGAAACAAAGGGAGGAAACCCAATCTGAAAAAAACGTGGCAGTAAAAGAATTCATAACTCTTCTAAAGAAGGCATTGATAAAAAAAATAGAGAAGATTAGACAAATGATGGATTCCTTGAATGAGCAATACAGGAAAGAAATAGATCACATGAAGCAGAGTCAAAGAGATATAGAGGAAATTAAAATCTCAATCACAAGCTTG